GTGCTTTCATATGTCATCATTTCATTTGAGGCTCACAGCAAACTAATAACAGTTAGTTATTGAGAATTTACAACCCACTGTAAGTTACACCCCTGTGAGATGGGTATAATTATCCATACTTGACACGTGAAAAACCTAAGAAAGGAACTTAAGGATTCACACTAAAAAAAAAAAAAAAAAAAAAAAAATTTAAAAAGAATTTGTGCCACATGATTATTTGAAACCAGGTCAGACTGACCTTAAAGCCCTGCTCTTAGTTTGTATGCAGTATTTCCATCGATCCATCTGTCCATCTATCCAGCAAAAACTTACTGAGCAGCTATGTGTGCCAGACAGTGGTTTAGGTATTAAAAGTAAAATTAAGAACAAGCAGAAAAAAAATCACTGTCTTTGTGTGTTTACGTTTCAGTTAGGGGAGGCCAACGATGAACGCAATATATTAGATGTGAAAAATGCTATAGAGAAAAATAAACTAGGAAGGAAGAGTTTGTGGGGGTGAGAGCTGCGGCTTTAAATGGGGTGGTCAGGGGAGGGCGAGCTGAGAGTCTGTGGTCTTAGGGGCGGGGGGCGGGGGGCGGGGGCAGCGGGCCCTGCGGGAGCGGTGCCTGGGGTGTGAAGCAGGCGGCCGTCAGGACCAGAGCTGAGGGAGGCGGGTGGGCGTGCGCTGTTTGTTGGGGGCAGTGGATTTTCTCCCCGGTGGATGGTTTGGAGTGAATGATCCAACTTCTGAATGGGGTAGCACTATCGCTCTGGCTGCTTTAATGCAAATCGTAGGAGGAGGAGGACAGGGGCGGCAGCAGGGAGACGAGTAAGGTGCTGCTGGGGTGACTGACCCAAGTCGAAGGGACCACGGCTTGAGTCGTAGGAGAGCGGTGAGAAGTGGCCAGATTCTGGACACATTCTGAAGAGAGAGTCGGGATTTGTTGAGGAGTTGGACGTGGAATGTAAGAGGCATAAGAAAAAGAATGACCTCTAACGAGATCAAATGTATAAACCTACTCCCATTTTGCAGATGGGAAAGCTGAGGTTGGAAGAAGATAAAGTGACTTGCCCCAAGGTCTTTTAGCTAGAAAGTTCCTAGAGCTAGGACAATTTCCCAGGCATTTTCAGTCAAAATTCCTTAGCCCTTCCCATGTACACATAGCATCTCTCCCACCCCAGGCCTCTGGCCCCACCTGACTGACCCAAGCACTTAGAACCCTCTTGTTTCTGAGGAGCTCAGTAAATACCAACCCATGGTGTTAAAACATTCACTGTTGAAATCTTAGGAAGCACCGCAGCCTGAGCCATTTTTCTAAGTGTCTATGATAGCTACTCGGAGGTCATTCAATATATGAAGTCTGTAGTCTCTTTCCAAAGAACTTTATTCCAGTACCTCCTGTAAAGGTTTAACAGTCTATCAATGATACCCTTTTTTTTTGTCAGGCTTGTAATTTGTGGGTTTGCACATTACCACTACTGACTTTTTCTTTTTCCCTTTACTGATCATCACAACAACAGCCAGATCCAGTGATAAGGAACTCTCCTTAGGAAAACACTGTTCTTCAATGGGTCTTCAAGGGAGAAAGTGTAATTTTAAGGGCTTTGCTGTGGGTATGAGGCTCAGGCGCCCTTATTTTACTGGCCTTCGCCTTTGGCCAACCACTGCGGACATGTTGTAAGGGGCAGTGCCGTTGGTGCCAGGCTGCGTAGATGAGTGCTTGCTGAATTTGCAAGATTCCTACCACTCTGGGCCCCCTAAAGTCCAGGGGTTTATGTAAATTCTTCTTGCCCGGGATCATTAGAACATTGCAGCCCCTGACCAGCCTCATTGTGGGATGGGAGTCTGGGCAGCCGCTCTAAGGACTCTGGGTAGAGAAGACTTTCAGCTTTTTAGTGTTATCCCCTTTGTAGTCTAAGGCAGACTTGTGTGTGTTCAAAAAAATTTATATTTGCTTCCTTCCAGATTTTCTCCCCGTCCCCATCCTAACACACACACCAGGCAAGTGCCCTAGACCAGGTGACCTCGTATTCTCTGCCTGCAAGCACGCACCACAGCACAGGAGGCGGCAGGCATCAGGCCTCACGCAGGCTCACACACCCTTCTCAGACGGGGCAGCCTAAATTTCCCAAGACCCCTACCCTAAACCCCCAGCACTGGGCAACAGGTGCACTATCAGCTCTGTACTCCTGAGGAAGGCCCCCCTGAGAGAGAGGGTCCTGGTATGTGTCCTCAGCCCCGGCCAGGGACAGACACATGCACATACACACACACACACACAGCTGGCTCTCTGCCGCCCACCTGTCTGCACTCCCCTCACCTGCACTGTCTGCAGTGCCGTGGGCCAGGTGCTGCCTCTCCCGGTGAGTCGATGAGCAAGCTGGGGGTGTAGAAGGCCGTGCCAGGTGTCCGGAGAGCTTTCCTCTGCTGCTTGGCTTTGTGGTCAGGTTCAGGAACATTTGTTCCTGCAATTTCTTCCTCCCTCCCAAAAGTGAAAGGCAGCTCACTTTCACTTTTACCTCTCGGACATAGGCCCTGGAGTTTTCTGAATGAGAGGGGCATGGGAATAGGGAGGCAGTAGTGAGGTAAAAGACGGTGCCAGGCACCATGTAGTCCAAGCCCAGGATCCTCCTGTCCTCCAAAAGCACCAACTCAGCTTCTTAATCATCAGCACATGCCAAATTCCCTGACTCTCCCAATGTCCACACCATCCTAGGTGTGAGCAGACCACCTGTTAGCCTGACTGGGACACAGATGTGCGACCGGTGGTTTACACCTCACCATGCAGCGCCGCCATAGAAGGAAGCCTAAGGGAAGGGCTGGGAGAGCAGCTGTGGAGAGGAGGGTGACTGCAGCTAAGATGTGGGGTGTCCCAGCTGCAGAGGGGCACCCCAGGCCGTGGGAAAGTACCTGTAAAGCATGGGCCCTTGTAGAGACCTGGTGTGTTGGACATCAACAAGAGGTCCTCTGCCCAGAGCTCAGGCGCAGAGGGCGGCATTTGGGAGGAGTGGAGCGAGCTTGCGGACGGCGCAGGGGCTGCCTGCCGGCCTTCCCAGCATCGCACGTCAGGTGCTCGCCTTATCCCTCGGCATCATTGTGGTCCTGCTTGTGCTCGGCAAGGAAGACTTGAGAACTTAATGCTTGAAACATATTCATAAAGCTTGTTTTCACAATGCGTATTACCCTTCATTGTTGCAAATATTTTTCAGTAGTTTTTGCTGTTTTAGTGTACAGATTCTAGGCTCTGTTTGCAAAATGTGTTCCTTTTAAAAAGCTGTTTGCAACATCACATCGCCAAAGTGAAGGGGAAGTGGGGGAGCTGCGAGGGCCTGGGGTGCAGGGCACGGGGGCTGGGGCAGGGCCGGCCGTGCACGTGGGGCACCCGACACGTGGCTTGTCCAGGTTTCATGGGCTGCATGTGTAAAATGCCCATCAGATTTGAAGACTAAGTACAAAAAAAAAGAATAGAAACCATATCGTTTAAAAAAAAAGCTTCTGTTTGGAAAGTAGACCTGTGCCTTCATATTTAGTTACTAGCAATTCAGAATCACAAGTCCTTGGTAAAAGCAAGGACAGACAGCTCCGTCCCAATGCTGCCCACAGCCAGCCCTCATCCTCACCTCACTGGCTCCTCGCTGACTTCCTTTTCTCCGTAGTTTTCCCAGTAACTTGGGATTTTTCAAACCATTATGGACTTGATGGTCTTTGTTGCTCCGCACGTCAGCTCACCTTGCACGCCATCCTGAGTTTTGTTCCCCCTGCCATTTCCGCAGGGCAGCCCCCTTTGCACGACTCACTCCCGTGAACCCGCCTCGCCGCCGGGTTTCCGGGATCCAGCCTCTGTCCCACCAGCCCTGCTCCCGCCACGCTCACTGCCGTCACCACAGCAACTCTCTGAGAGTGAGCTCCAGCTCTGAGCCCAGCGTGCTAGGAGGTCAGCACACGTTAGCTCACTTAATTCTCCAAAAAGAACGAAAATACTTTTTCCAACAGAAGAGTGTGAAGCTCAGAGAGACTTCATTTCTCAGTTAGGCTCTCGTGCCTTCAGAGGGGCAGGGCTGGAATTCAAACCAGGCCTCTGTGGCTCTAAGCCTTGCTCTTTTTATAGCGTCAGGGACCTCTATTCAAAACCTGTCGCTCCCTTACTCGACCCTAAAGAGCAACCCCACTGCCAACACTAGCTCTTGAAGTCCCCAGCAGTATGTTCCCACCTTTCTTTTCTGGTCTCTTCCTTTATTAGATGTACTGCTGTCCACATCCCGTGCGCTTCAAATCTAGCCGCCATTCGATCCATGAAGCCTTTCCCTGTTCTCTTCAAAAGGGATGCTCTGTTTTTCTTTAAAATCCCCTTCCTTAAGGACAGATTAGCCTTGGTGAGAGTAGCCCATTGTGTCAAGAAAGAAAATCTGAATACCAAGGTGGCTAATCCAAAATGTTAGACCCATGCCTAAAATCTCTCTCTTTTTTCTGATAAATTCCTAATTCTGATATAGTGAGTGGAAAACCAGTAAAAATGACTACATGTTTTCACTTAATTATATTTAATGATTTTAGTAGTGCTACAGCCTTGCAGGTAAAAGATGGAAGCAGACGCTTTTTAAAAATGATTATATTTTTCATTTTCTTTTCCTCCTCAAGCTTTATCAACACGTTGCTTAGAAACATTATCTCTATTTATATTTTTGATGGCCACTTGGCAGCACCAATTTCCAACTAAATCACACCTAGTTCACTCAGTATCCTAACTCACAACATAACACTGTGTGTTAGCGCTGGCAATACTTTCTGAAATGTTCCCCTTCTTACTTAAGATAACATTTAACCCCAGCTCCTTTTAGCATCAATTGCTACTCTTGGATAAATAGATCAGTAGAAATGTTCTAATGATTTCTTATTCTGGGTAAGATTAAAATGATTCCTTTCCCTTGGAGGGGGCGTGTGTTTTCTGTCGTCGTCTATTCTGCCATTTAAAATTTTGTGTTAGCTGTGTCTCTAAACCGTGCCATCACTTGTTTCTCAGTTTCCTCAGATGGGGGCACTGAGTCGTCGGCTCTAGCGGATGACAACGGCAGTGAGGAGGACTACAGCTATGAAGACCTCTGTCAGGCCAGCCCCAGATACCTGCAGCCGGGCGGGGAGCAGCTGGCCATCAACGAGGTACAGAATTCCACACGGGGGTGGTCGGCGGGCGCCCGATTTCCAGGGTCCAGCCTCGCTTCAGACTTTGTGCTCTGCTTATTTCTTACTAAACATACTCTAAGACCGAGAACTTTGACTAGACAGACACTGAGTTTCTGCCATTTTCAAGAACAACTTAGGTGATTAAGTTCCTCCCTTTACGTGGCATTGGGCCATGCTGCTCAGTTTCCGACACGCTCTCTCTTTATCATAAATATCACAGCTGCTCTAAGAGGTAGATGTTATAGCATCCGTATTTTAATACACACCGAAATTAAGAGGTTAAATTACTTGCTGGCAAATGGCAGAGCTGACATCAACCACATGTTTCTCACTGTGAATCTGCCATTCTTTCTATCAGTCTGTATCTTTAGGCTTTTTTGCAGAAATCTTTCTAAAAGGCCCCACTAGCTTTTGGAGTCTTGAACAGAGCGTGTGGCAGGTAGTGGTCCCAGGGAGTGAGTCCCCGTCCGTAGCAGCCGTTGCTGCCCTGACTCTGATGGTATCTCTGGGCACCGAGCGGATGGATGTGCCGCTCTGCCCCTGCAGAGGACTCAGATGAGCTCTGTCTGCTCTTTACTTTTATTATTAACTGTTGAATATCCAGAAAGCATGCTGTGTTCTCTGTGATCTCAGTAAACTGTACAATTAGATACAAAGTTTATTCAAACATGAATAAAGTATGAATAGTAAGTTCTGGCTGAAGCTGAGGTCTTATGGTTCAGCCTGAGCACAACCTTTAGAGGCTTGGCTCAGCCATGTCTTGCTTGGCTGCTCATTTTTGGAGTGAATATTGGAGACATTCAGATTTGTTAGTTAACTGAGGTACAGATAAGTGAGCTGTTTATACATTTGTTAAAAAGTGGATTTGGGGTTTCCTTTACGAGCATGTGACAGAGGCTCAGCTGATCCTTTTTTCCCTGGCACTATTTCCTCTGTTCCTTTTGTGTAACAATCAGTAAGTGTTGACCCAAAGCCGCTGCTATATACAGATGAGAACCAGGAGGCGTGCATCTGACCCTGAGATAGCGCACAGACTCCCTCCCTGTTCTGCCCACCTGGCTTCTGCACTGAGCACCCCGCCTTCTCCGTTCCAGCTGATCAGCGATGGCAGCGTGGTGTGTGCAGAAGCCCTGTGGGACCACGTGACCATGGATGATCAGGAGCTGGGCTTCAAGGCAGGAGATGTCATCCAGGTTCTGGAAGCCTCTAACAAGGACTGGTGGTGGGGCCGGAGCGAGGACAAAGAAGCCTGGTTCCCCGCCAGCTTTGTCAGAGTGAGTGTCGGCGCTTTCCACTTTCACAGCTGTCTCTGGGGAGCGGCCGAGAGGTTCCGGCCAAACTCATTCTTTGTACAGATTGAGTTCTTTGTCATTGTTTTAATCGAACCTTTTAGAAATTCAAGCGCGCTGAAGGAAAACTTTTAACTAAGGTAACCAGTTGTTTGGCACTGCCGATGTGTTTTGAGCTGCTGGCGCCACATGGCTCTGCCAAGTACGCAGGGCGGGCGAGGGTCAGGCTGCCTCCCTTACTGGGCGTGGGGAAGCGGAACCAGGGAGGCCTCTGGTCTGGTTCCGGCGCTGCCTCCCCAGGTCACCTGTCCCTCCTGTGTGCACTGCAGTTGCGAGTCAATCAGGAAGAGCTGTCCGAGAATTCCAGCAGCACCCAGGGTGAGGAGCCGGAGGAGGATGCTGGCAAGAACCGCCATAAACACTCGGAGAGCAAGCACCAGATGAGGACCAACGTCATCCAGGAGATCATGAACACCGAGCGGGTATACATCAAGCACCTCAAGGACATCTGTGAGGTGAGACACCAGACATGTGGCCTCACTGAGGTTGTCACATGGCTCTTTGATAGGCCCATATGGTTTTCTTCTGTCCCCAGTCATTTTCCATAGTTTTCCATAGTTTCAGTAGTTTCCATGGACATAGTTTTCTAGAGCTCTCCTTTCTCCTCGCCCCTCCCACTGCCCTGGTCCCTGCACAGACTGCTCTTTCATCAAATACTCGTGGGCCCTGGTGAGCATAAATGGCTGTCCGCCCGCATCGCAGCCAGTCCTCTTTTCAGGGCACTGTGCCGCTGTCCCTTCCAGGGCTGAGCTCTGAGATTATTCAGGGTGAGTGACTGTCAGAGGAGGCAACACCCCGGCAGTGAAACTCTCTGGACTTTACAAAGAATCAAAGGTTTCTCACTGTCTAGCCCAACTGCCTCTAATCACTGTCGCACAGACGAGATTCTGAGTCATTTAGATGTAGACAAAAATAAACAAAGAAAAAAATGGTTTTATGGAGTGATAGCCAAGGCCATATTCCACAGTGTTGCAGTAATTCTATGCAATTCACTTTATTTCTCCCATGATGTTTTTTGTGTTTATGGGCTTTGTGTGAGCATTTCACTGTCGTTGGCCTCGGCCGTCATTCCAGCTGTGCTGGCTCTGAGTGCGGACCTCTGTGCTCTCAATTCAGCTGTGGCGATTCAGCACTGCAAGACAACCTGCAGTGAGACAGTGGCACATTTTGTAACTGGCTTCACTGGCCAGGTAGAGGTACACCAGTGTGTGGCTGCTTTATGTCAGCCATCTTGTTCTGTATAATAGATGGCTAATGGAGTTTCTTTAAAGTAACATTTTAGGAAAATAAAAGGAATTGCTAATAATTGTTGGGTGTGGACTATGTGCTGTCCCTTTACCTGAATCAACTCATTTGACTCTCAGAAAACTCTCAGTAGGCAGGTCCTCTTAGCCCTGTATTACAGAGGAGGAAACTGGGACACAGAGAAGTTAAGTGGCGGGGTTGGGATTTCAACCAGGCAGTCTGCCCCAGAGCTGGTACCCTGGACCTCTCTCTCCATTGTCTTTCTGTTAAAACTCATACCAGATAAGTCAGTGGTGTGGAGTTTACCATATAGTCAGTCTAGTCTGTAATTACATGACACTAATTTGGGAATAATTATTACATATATTTATGGCTTTTCCTTCCTACCCCACTAACTCCTACCTAAGCCCTAGTACAAACAGTGTGTATAATTAATAGTTTCTAACTAGGGCAGGCCTCGGGGTAGCGATCAACGGACTTATGCCACGTATGAAATGTAGGTGAAGGTAGAATCCTGGGTAAGATGTTCCTGGCCCCTGCAGAGAGCTGCATGAGCTGTTTGGCAAGCCATGGTATTCGGTATTTGACAAGCCCTCTCAACTGTGGAGTAAAATTAGGGATAGGAGAAGGGTTATTGCAAGAGTTTAGGAAAAGTGTAACAATACCAATTTTTGAGCTACTATTTGCAACTAAGCCACTTGTTTCATGAGTATAATCTGGAAACTTTATATGGTTTCTTGAATGATAAATCTAGCCACACGTATCTTTTCTCTTTCCTTTTGTTTTAAAAATATGGCACATTATAATTATGAAAGTATGATCATTCCATCAGAGACCCCTAGAGGTTAAAATAATTTTCTCTAATTAAAATCTATTCTAAGACAATAGCTTTGGACTCCAAATACTGTATTATTAAAAAAAATAATTTCTATGAGTTTTCAAATTAGGTTTTTAAAGGTTACTTTCCCTTTTGCAGGGCTATATTCGACAGTGTCGCAAGCACACGGGAATGTTTACTGTTGCGCAACTAGCCACCATTTTTGGAAACATTGAAGACATTTACAAATTCCAAAGAAAGTTCCTGAAAGACCTTGAGAAACAGTACAATAAAGAGGAACCTCATTTAAGTGAAATAGGATCCTGCTTTCTTCAACATGTATGTCACCCGTCACGTCTTTATTCATAACATTCGATTAATTTCAAAATGTTTCCTTGCTAAAAATACTCGTTATTCTTGATTTTTTGCTGGCTAGATTAATTTCCCATAGAATGGAGATGTCACTTGTCAATTAAGTTCATTGGTTCAGATGGTTAATCTTTAGCTAAATACCCAGGTCCATTTTTCCAGAGTCTTCCCACTTTTATGCAGTTTGGGGTACTTTTTAATATTACCTATTAATTGTCTATAACATGTTAAACACTGTTCTCCGGATCTTCTTCTTAGCTTTTATGCTGATGTGCAGTGGGTATGATTGTTGTCCTCATTTTACAATGATGCAGAATCTAAAGCCCAGAGAGTCATTGGCTCTGGGTCACACATTAGTAAGTGGCAGGTGGGAATTCAGACTGAGGCCTGTGGGTTCTGGGACCCATGTGTGTGACTGCTGTGTGATGATGGCATTAGCTTATCATTTAACTGATGATTGACTGTCACTATTTAATAATAAGTTTTTCAGAGGAAGAAGGTTTTATTCTCAGCCAGAATGGCCAGGGCATAATAATAACAGCAATGACCACCGGCACCACCACCACCTCCTCAGGCAGCACTCCCTGGTCGCTGGGCCCAATAGCTTCATAGGGGCAGTAGAGTGGAGCAGGTCCCCAGGGTGGTTGCTTTCAAATAGCTGAAAATAATGCTGTAGGGGTAGTGAGGTGGGAAGATTGACCCCATGAGGCCTGAGAGCTGAGCCATAAGCCTGCTCCCGGGAGTGTGGAGGAAGGGAGGAGGCCATGCAACACAATGAGGGGTGGAGAGAGGGAAGGAGCAGACTCTGCAGAGGTCAGGAGAAGGGAGGGTGTCAGGGAGAGAGCGGTTCGGGTGGCCGCAGCTTGGAAGCGACCTGAGGAGAAAGGAAGTGAGTGGAGGGCTTACCTTGGGAGGTTGGAGGGTGGCGTGCATGTGGAAGCCAGGTGTTGGGATGGTAAGGAGAAGATTTGTGGTGAGAAGGCGGTGGCTTTGAATCCTCACCTTTCGGTCATGGTCAGGGAGTTTATTGGGGAAAGAAAGAGGTCAAGGAGGGAGCGAGTTGAGCATAAAAACAGCACCTTCTTCTCTTAGATCAGAGGTGGGGTGAGGAGGGTGTCAGCAGAGGGCGCCATTCCCCTGGGGAAGCCCTGTACACCTGTGGCACACCCTGTCATGGTCTGTGGAAAGCTGCTTTGAAGGGGGCCAGGGCTCTGAGTCCTAGAGCAGACTTTCCCTGCACCCCGCTGGAGAGTCTGCAAATGGCCCTTCCCACGGAGGGCGCCCGGGCCTCTCATGCGGGCGTGAAAAACATCGCAAAAGGACTTGGCGCGCCATCTCCCTCCTCCCAGGAATGCCCCCGCACATAGAACGGGCTGCTGCCTGTCGTCGTCCAGCCCACAGCCACCCATAGCCTGATGACGCTTGCTTTCCCCTCCCCAGCAAGAGGGCTTCGCGATCTATTCCGAGTACTGTAACAACCACCCAGGCGCCTGCGCCGAGCTGGCCAACCTGATGAAGCAGGGCCGGTACCGGCACTTCTTCGAGGCCTGCCGCCTGCTGCAGCAGATGATTGACATCGCTATTGATGGCTTCCTGCTCACGCCCGTGCAGAAGATCTGCAAGTACCCCCTGCAGCTGGCCGAGCTGCTCAAGTACACCACCCAGGAGCACAGGTGAGAGAGAGGCCGCGCGGGCAGCAAGGCCCATTCTCCCTGTCGCGCGCTGGGGCCCTCCGCTGTCCCCAGAGTGACAAGCAGGCTCAGGTGTCAGGCTTGTCACTTGTAGAAACTTTATGGGAAGAAGTTTTCAGATTGTGTAGAATGTTAAAGTTATTTATACTGAGCAGAGCTTGAATGTGGAAGTTTTTAATACTGGACATCTCAGCCTATGTGTTGATTAGAACTGTAGTTTCAGTTTTTTTAGTTTTAGAGGCCTTGGAAACAGGAGCCTGCTGGGGGCAATGTTTTATTTTGATTTGACTGTAGCATATGGAAAGCACCAGAAATAGAGATTTGCTGATGAGGTAAATGCCACATTGGCATTTATGTAACTCACTCTGTGAGCCTTCTATGGCTGGTGTCCTCTGGTGTCCTTGCCCGAGCAACATGAAAGATGGGACTCAGAGCAAAGTATTACTCTTGAAAATGGTTAGTGGTTATTAAAGTACTTTCTATAGCAAAACTAGCTATATCAGAATGAAAGCAATAATAAAGGCTGTCCTTTCTTTAGTAATGAAAATCATTCATTGTCACTGTGATTAAAACATTTCTTGTGGCATTTATTTTCATTCATGGTAGTTTCTGGGAAATGAAGGACAACATTCTTATCCCAATGAATTCTGAACTGCACTTGGTCTGCTCCCTTGACCTACGCAGACTGTAGCCTGTTCATGGAGGAACAAGGAAAAGGAAACAATGGCTATTGTTTAAATGTCACGTTGTCTAGACTATTAGTATACAATTTGGGGATGGAGCATATTATTTTGTCAGTCTTCATTTGCGAGTTACATGTCACGGTTAAAATTAACCTCCCACTTTTCAGTGATTACAATAACATAAAGGCAGCATATGAGGCCATGAAGAACGTAGCCTGTTTGATCAATGAGCACAAACGCAAGCTGGAAAGCATAGACAAGATAGCCCGGTGGCAAGTGTCCATCGTGGGTTGGGAGGTAAGTGGACACCCCCAACTCCCTACACACACACATCGTCCATCACCACTCACACCCTCCCCCACCTCTGGTCTAGTTTGATGACATACTTTCATGTCCTATGATTGGTAGTTTATACTCATGACTTTACAATACACAGGATTCCCCTGCTATCCTAACTTAGAGCCTTCCTATGAAACCTTTCATACACTGAAATGGTGCAAAGCCAAAGACCAGTACCTTAGGACACATCTTGCTGATGATGCACAGAATAAACCGAGATAAAGCACAGATGCTCACAGACATAGCCCAGAGCTCGTGCAACTTGATGCTGAAACACTGAGTGTGGTTCCCAGGGAAGGAGCTTCACGGGGCCACTCTCGCTGCTCAGGACGCTGCCGCCTCTGTAACAGCTGCTGCAAAACAAACATTGAATTCTATTTTCACTTCTCACCCTTTTTGGCAAAAATGAAAATTCTCTTTGGCTTTTTCAGTTAGCAAACACAGGTACTAATGAAGGTCTTTAGTAAAAGTAAAAAGGTACAAAGAGAGCTTTTGAAAAGCAGGGGATACCTAGATACATTTTGAGGCATATCATGAATTTAAGTCAACCACTTTACCTCACACCCCCACCAGAAAAGTCTGAAGAGTGTCTGTAATTACTTGATTGCCTGTGCTTTCTCTCCTGCGAGAGAGTAAGCTTCACGAGAGCAGCTAGAGAGCATTTAAAGTACAAATTATAGTATGGACTGGGGAGCTGCATGGGCTGCCTGTGTGTAAATCCTGTGTGAACTGGGGATGGTCAGTGTTTTCATCTATAAGGTGGAGATGAAACTGTTACCTAACTCAAAGGGCTACTATAAGGATTTTAAGACCGTGCACATGCAGTGCTTAACACAGGCTATCATAATGGCCCAGCGTGCCTGTGCGCGTGCGCACACATGCATTTATTTATTCATGAAAACAAGAACAGTGACAGTAGCTAGTGCCTATATCGTGTTTACCACATGCCTAGCACTGGTCTAAGACATTTATATGTAGAAACTCATTTAATCCTCTCAACAGTCCTATGAAGTGGGAATTACTACCCCCATTTAACAGATAGGGAAACTGAAGCACAGAACAGTTAAGTATCTTGTCATGGCCACAAAGCTAGGAAGTGGCCAAACTGTGTTCAAACAAAGGCAGGCAGCCTGGCTTCAGAGTCTATGCTGGTAATCACGAGGTTCTATGGCCATTATTAAGAATAAAATTGATGCTGTTCATATTGTCTTTAAAACAAGCAAGATTCATCCTACATCAAACCGATTGGTCAAAACTCAATCTCCCAAAGGACTGTGAAAGTTTGGGTTGAGAAGTTAGGTTTTTAACTAAAGTACATAAGAGTGGTAAAAGTGGGAAAGAAATACCTGTATTTCAAGGCCTTATAGATTTTTGGGGCTCAGAGATCACTCTTATTTTGCAAGTGCAGAATCTAGGGCACTGAATTGCTCTAGGCAAGTAAATAGAAGAAGCATTTGGAAGTCAAGAACATTTACCTACAAAAAAAATGTGTATGACTAAGATTAAAGGAGAATAAAATCTTTAATTTATAAAATTAAAAGCCAGTGTCATACCAAGAACCATCAAGTTCCATTGGATTAGACCCCACCTAAATATGATAAAAGTATGGTTTTCCTTGAGTTCTTGGACTCTGGCACTTAGCAGATAACTTTCTGTCAAAAGTTTACCAGTTTCTTGCTGGTAATTTGCCATCTGGCCTTTTGTTTCCAAAGACCCTAAACTAGTTATTCCAGGGAAGGTGCTCCCCACCTGACAGAGCCAGAGCGCCTGTAGTGCACAAACCTACCGGTGGACCTCGTTCTGTGAGGGTCAGCCTGGGTCAGCTGCCACGTCAGACCGTGATCAGACTCCGTTAGTCCAGCAGACTCTTCACCGATCTTTCTGACAAAAGAAGACACATCAGATTACATAGAGGCACTGTAACATTTTCCCACTGAGTATGATACAAACGAAAGAAACTTCACACACAAGAAGACTAACAAACCAAGGTTTTAAATGGTCTTTGAGGTTCTGGCCATGTGTGAATGGGCCTCGGGCAGCTGGAAAATCTGGGGAAGATTCTGGGCCAGGGCCTTGTCCTATATCCCCAACACCTGAAGGAGTGAAAATTGAAAGGTCTTTCTCATCTTCCAGGGACAGGACATTTTAGACCGAAGCTCAGAATTGATCCATTCTGGGGAGCTGACCAGAATCACTAAGCAAGGCAAGAGCCAGCAGCGGACATTCTTTCTGTTCGACCACCAGCTGGTGTCTTGCAAGAAGGACCTGCTGCGCAGGGACATGCTCTATTACAGGGGCCGTGTGGACATGGATGACATGGAGCTCGTGGACCTAGAGGATGGGCGGGACAAGGACTGGAATCTCAGCGTGAAAAACGCCTTCAAGCTCGTCAGCAAAACCACTGATGAGGTGCATTTGTTTTGTGCCAAGAAACAAGAAGACAAGGCGAGGTGGCTGCAGGCGTGTGAGGATGAAAGGAGACGGGTGCAGGAGGACCAGGCGATGGGTAAGCAGCACCTCGGCACCCCGGGGTGTCGCTGGCCTCTGCTTTCCAATCTCACCCTCTAGCCTTCTCCCCAAGAGTTAAACCCCACCCTGGGGAAAAGAGAAGGATGTGCAAATTGTAAATATTTCTAAACTTGCTTACAGGACAGGCCATGACAGATGTAGTCACTACTGGCAATATTTATGTGCCAATACTGTGCTCCACATTTACAGAGATGGTCTCATTTAGTTTCAAAACATGGGTACTATTTCTATGCCCATTTAACAGATGAGAAAATTGAGGTCAAGGCCTTTGCCCACTCTTACAGCATGACCAAGCAACATTTAAAACCAGCTCAGTGTGCCCAAGAGACTGAGTCACACCCTGGTGGCCGTCACCCAGGCCATGAGAAATATGAGGTGATCCTTGAGGCTTCCTCTTCAGCTGTGCCTTTAAGGCATTTTAAGTTTACCTTGCTGTCACGCGCCATGCCAGCCCCACACCTGCCTGCATATTCCCCATCTCTCAGCCACGAAGCACCCTGTACGGCAGTGAAAGCCATGCCTCTCCACACTCGGGATTGCCCTGGTCTTTGATGCTCTACTCCCCTCTAGGTGTCAACTGTCTGGTGAGATAAACCATCGAGCTGGTATTTACAGTGGGGGCACTCACAGCCTCTGAGCCAGGCTGCAGTGCCTCCTGGCACCGCAGGGTTTTGAACATAAACTGTTGAATGGAAGTCAGGATGCCATAGGGACCATGGACCCCTAGAGACGAGGTGGGGTGAAGAGTGCGCATCTCTGCGGCCCTCCTGGGCCCAGACCGCAAAGGTGTTGCGGTGCGAGATACAGGAGGAGGCCGTCCCCTTTCTGTTCCCTGCCCACTGCCACAAGGAAAGCCAGAATGAAACCAGGAGGTGCCCTGTCGGCCCTCCCCAAGGCGTGTGTCACCAGCACTGGCCCCAGGCTTGGCCACAGATGTTGCTCTGACCCACAGGAAGTTTCATGGGATCATGTGTTAGAGTAGAAAAGGCTTTTTACAAGTCAGTGAGGCTGTCAGAAGCAGGAATCTCCTCTGAAGTACTCGTAACAGGTGAGCACTGGCTCGTACCTCGACCTCTAATGGCACAGAACCCACTGCTTACAGGGGGCCCCTTCTGCTAAGTGAAAGTATCCTTTATTCCAAGAGGAAAGCTGATCCCCAGCGACTTCCATATATTGGTGCAGCTTTTGACTCTCAGGCCTCATTGGAATGAGGCTCATCCCTCTGTCATGCCGAAAATTCTTCAGATAGTTGGTCACATATGTTCAGATACAAAATGAGAGATCTGCAAAATCCTGATTTTTACCTGCCATGTAATGTTGTCTAGTGCAGGCTTTGAAATCATTTGTAATTTGATGTGTTTTGGTTGTTCCTCAGAGAGAACCAAATATCTCAAGGGCATTCTAAATACTTCTCAACTCTGCCCCTGAGCAGGAGAAGCGAGGAGGGAGCTGACATCATACCTCTGCAGTCCAGCACTTCACCATAGCTGGTGCTCGGAAGACAGGAAGGAAGGAAGGAAGCAAGGAAAGAAGGGAGGGAGGGAGGAAGGAAGGCAGGCAGGAAGGAAGGAAGGAAGGAAGGAAGGAAGGAAGGAAGGAAGGAGGCACTCTTGGAGCCATTGAGTCCGTGATCTGAGTAAGAGTGGACGGACATGTTTTGTCAGCCTAGGTGCCCAATACATGACGTGTGGGTTGATCATCATGCCATTAGCCAGGCTGGACACGGAGGGTGGCAATAAGGCAGGGCTACATGGGCCTCAGAGCAGTAGATGCCAGGGGTCAGTGTACGGAGCCTGAAGGAGATGTTAGGACCTGTTAGGGACTGATGTCAGGCATGTGGAGGAGCCAGGGCACCAGGAGCAGAGTGTTCGAAGGCAGAGTGCATGCCTTGGCACGTGACCCCAGGTAGCAGAGGCTCTGCCCAGGTCTCCTTCCACCGAGCAGAAGCCACGCCCAGGGCAGGATCCAGTCTGGCAGTGTGAGCTTCCTCCGCCTCTGTCCTTGCCTCTCTCCTCATGCTCCCTACCATTGGGGTAATGCAGTTCCCGTTACTTAGGTATTACCTATATTCAGGGGAGGGTGAAACTCAGCTCCCACAGCAGGTGGGTGAGCAGGCTGGGGGCCCCTTTGATTTGTCTTCTCCTTCCAGGGCCTTATTCTTTAGGGTGATAATTGGGGTGACTGTATGAACACTTGCCTGGGTTTACACTAGTCTGTGCATCCTTACCAGCAGCGCTCCACTTTGGTCTTTCCAGTGTCCTGGTTTAGAGAATAATTCTGTGGCCATCCTAGTGATAATTCTTGCTCCTTCTGTCTCCTTTTCCAGTCTTTTCAACCTCTTCTAGTTCCTCAAGGATTAAGGTTCTTTTCTTCAGGTTATGGTGACTACCTCAGGGGTAATGTGGGTTATGGTGCAAGTTTATTTCTAAAATGTTTTCAATTGTTTTGAGTATGTATTACCTTTGTTTCTAAATCCAGGAATGGAAATTTCTGAAAATCAAAAGAAACTAGCCATGTTAAATGCTCAAAAGGCAGGACATGGAAAGTCAAAAGGTAAGTTCTGCAGACGCCGCCATCTCTGTAAAGTGTATCAGCACTGGCATTAAAAGCAGGGGCCTCCTCATTCTGAGGGGATGATGATACCGTCACTAGTCTGAGGCAGATCAGCCCCTCCTGCACCTTTTGGGCACGTGAGGAGGAAATCTCCAACCCCAACTGCGTGTCCCCTGCAGGCTACATTCTACTTTAAGTAAGAAAAAAGGATCTGATGTTCATTACATCATGAGCTGAGTTAAGGAGAAGGAAGACACACTAGCTTATTTAGAGCAGGAGTTCTCTATCCTCCATGCACATCAGAAGGACCTGGGCAGTTATTTAAAAATATCAACGCCCAGGGCACATACTCCAGGGTCCTGTGGCACAAGCCAAGATTGTCCTCACACGGGTAATGCTGGTATCCCAGCGCAACAGAAATACTGTAGGTCTTTATTCCAAAAATGTTATATTTTTATAAACTTAATTCAAATTGACTGCAAGAGGGATTCACCCATTGGTATTTATCCATTCAGTATTTTCCTAACTGAAAATACAAAAACAAAGATCAGTTCAGCCTAGGGCTGTGATAAGCCATCAACTGCTACACCAAGAAGTCATTACCAAAACCACACTCAAAACTTCCCTGCTCCCTCCACTCAAATGCAAAATTCCCACCTTCTCCCCCCGCTCCCCCCAGCCAAGTTATAAATATGTTCAAGGCAGAAAAATCCACTGTATTCTTTTTGACAACTCACAACTCCATTTTTAATGCCAGGTGACCAGGAAATAACCAGCTTGTTAGAATGTATTTGTTTCTGTATCTTCTAAGAGCCACTAAGCTTACAACTAGCCCCTGAAGGAATGAATGATCGCCTATCCGGCACTTTCATGGGTTACCTTGTTTCATCCTCCCTGTCATCCTGGGGGACGAGGAACAAGTCAGAGGCAGGGATGGATTCTGGACTGAGGTCCTGGCTCCTTCCAAAGCCCACAGTCTTTCCTTTTACCACGCTGACTTTCACGGCTACTGTGTGGTCTTGTAGCTAATTTTAATAAGCCTTTTTAATGACCTCTGCACAAATTTAAAATGCCGACTCCAATAAAATAGCCTTAATTAAAATGATTGAGTATTGGGGGCACTGTTCCAGGCACACTGCTTATGTTAACTTGTGTAATTCACATAACCCAGCAGGCACTGTTGTCCCCACCTTAGATTTAGGGAACTGAGACACAGAAATCAACTAATTTCCCAATCATTACAGCTAGTGACAGAGTAGGGGGGCCGGCAGCATGTTGTTGCTTCTCATCCCAAAGAGCAGTCCAGTTCTAATCCTGCCACTTACTGCGCTGTGACCGAGGCAATTTACACGACCTTTCTGGTTGGTGTTCTTCCTGGTCACATTGCTGTAACGGTACCTTCCTGGGAGGATTTTTGTGAGGATTCAATGAGATAATCTACGTCACATCTCCACACATAGTATGGGCTGAACGTGTTATGACAGCTCTCAGATGTACTTTCAGTTCATGTGAATTGAGAATCAGCTAAGAATTCAAGTCTTGGCACTGTTTTATTTATTCTTTCTTTTTCGGCTAAGAAGTGACCCTCAGTCCATGTGCCGTCTCTCTCCTCTCCTGAGTTAGGCTACAGTGGCTGTCCCGCGGCCCCGCCACACCAGAGCTTACACCCCATGCATCAGCGCCACGTCACCGTGCCCACCAGCGTCCCTCAGCAGCAGGTGTTCGCCCTGGCAGAACCCAAGAGGAAGCCTTCGCTGTTCTGGCACACCTTCCACAAACTCACCCCTTTCAAGAAATGAAACGGGAGGGCCGCACTTGGACTGTGCTCAATCCAAGGACACTCTATGGCCCCGGTGCTGGAAACTTCTTTTGGGGGTGAATACAGACGAGAAGGACTTGGGCTCACCTTCAGTCTTCAGAGACGCAGCTGCCTCCTTGGAAGGGGGAGAAGGTGGTGATGCTTTCACATGCACAGGAACCTTCTGTGACCTGTGCCAAGGGGGCCGAGACTGAGGACCTGGTGACGTGCTCTAAAGTGAGTGCTGAGCAGAGAGCCCTGCGAGCCTCGCTGATGACGAGTGTGCTGCAGCCCAGGTCCACAGTGCTGCGAGGAGGGGAGGAAGGGCGGGTGACGTAGCGCTTTTGCATTTGATTTGAAGGGAATGGTGGTCCTCGGGTTGGTGCGAGACTGCCTGTCGCTGGCACGGGAAAGCCCTGCTTCTCTCCCCTGGTATTAGGAGGGGAATTACCACAGACGTCGTGTTCCCAGGTGTCATCTGAATCTACGCCTTTGCCACGTGGGAGTGCGGTCTTCATCCTGCCTGGTTGCTCTGCCCTTGCAGGCTGGAGGGGAAAGCAGGATGAGCCTGTTGCGTGGCAGGGAGGTCTGCAAGCACAGCAGCTGACTTCAGCCTCCCGACGGTGAGGCTGCTTTCCAGAGAGGGAGGGAGGCAGAGGAAACCCTACGCGGGCTAGGTTGGCCCTTCTCAAGTCAGGTACTCTCCTGCCCACGCGCAGTGTGTAAACTCCATGAGCAGAAACCATGTCTACGCACACATCATAACCTAAGAACATTCAGACATATCTGTTTGCAATATAAAAATCCATTCACTTTAATGTAAAGTGATTATGCAAATGCACCAATCAAAAGGCATTCTTACTGCATCAGTTACTCCTGGCGCCCTTGACAATTAAATTATAATGGCATTTACAGCCCCCTGAGAAAGCATGAGCTTCCGAGCAGTCCAGCTGCAGATGCGGAGTGCACTTGGTTGCATAAACCCGAATAGTAGTGCTAACTGTGCCATTATTAGCATGTCAACAAGTGTCTACAGAGTCCACTTTATAAAAGAGACCTTAACAAAATATATCTAGACTCAGAGAGCAGTCTTTTTTTAACGAGGGCCACATGGGCTGATACCTATCAACAGTTTTTTCCTAGTCTTTGCCTATAATGTAAATTTTGTTGAAACCAACTTTTACGTATGTCTGGAGAAGACAGTCTCTGCAAGCGAGATGCCATTGTATTTACTTAGTGCACTGGATGGGCGGGTGTTGTATGACACCATTTGTGGTTTTCTATTTGAGAATCTCTTTTTTGTATGCTACTCTCAGAAAGTTCTTTTTTCTACTAGACCCATGCTTGAGAATAAACAAACCTGTGCTGTCAAATGCGGAGGTGTAACCTGAGTCTCTGGGTGCATGGTTCCTCCCCTCTCTACATCTTCCCCACACCCGGAGCTGTTCCTGATGGAGGTGAAGTCCTGTAACAAGGAGACAAAATCCTGGACCTCTTGGGTGAAGCTTAGCACGACGTAATGTAGCAGTTTGTCAGAAAGTCATTCCTGCTCTTGAGCCCACTCTGCACCTCCGTGTGCTCCCTGCTGGGCATGTGGCTGGGAGGTCGTACCGCCCCATGGCCGATGACCCCGGCCGCTTCTGTGAGGAAGTTTCTAAGGAGGTGCTGTAAGTGCGTGCGCGAGCATGGGTGTTTCATTTTTGAGTAGACATCTCAATTTCAGTTACATTTATATAACTGACCCTTTTACTAACAAAAAATGATATATTTTGTAAACTATACTAAATATGCTTTTTGTGGGCCCCTCAGCAATAACTATAGGGGTCCTTGTGCTAAATAGAATTGTTTGTATATACAGCAGTTTTGAACAGTTGGTTGTGTTTTGTTTTTAATATAACAGAATTATGTTAAGGAAGCAAAGAGAATTATTTGCTTAGGTTATATTTTAAATGAGTATTCAGCGAGTTAAGAGCCACTCAGTGGGCTTCCACTTACTAATATTTATTAATGGGCAATGAAGAAATGCTTTAAGTTCTGTGACCAGTCCCGACTTATTTCCCAGCTGAGCCCTAACGTTGGTCCCCACCGCTCGTTCATGGGCTCCTACCAAGAACAGGAAGCTCGGAGCCCTGGGCCTGCAGGGCCCTGGGGTCTGTTAGCTCTGTGCTATGTGAGAGTCACCTGATCAAAGATCTGTTTTTTGTGGATCCTGCTTGGGTTTTCAGTTGATTTTGAAAACTGCTAAAATAGATTTAAAAAGACAGAACGTTCTTTGACCTCTAAGTCAGCATGTCTAGCTTTGGTTGTTTTACCAAATGCCTGAGATCTATAAAGAATAGATGGCTCAAGTAGTCTAATTTTAGTTTGCCAAGCTTCCTTCTTGACTTAAGTCACATATTCCACTTGGAAAAAAACAGCCTCTATATGCATTACATATGAATGTCATTGGGAATCTCACTTTCTCTGTCTTTCTTTCTCTCTTTTTTTAACCCTACATTGCATAAAATTGTGGACTAAAAAAAAGAAGAGCTGATACAGAATTTTGATGACTTTCACCTATTCTATCATTCATATTCCAGAATTTGACAACTCTATTGAAAGACAGTTGCACTGGCCTTGGGTCAAGAGCAACCCAATGTTGGCCATACCTAAAATGCAGGGCAACTTTGCAGTAGATAAAAGCAATCATAAAATGGGATATTTATAAAATTCTGGAGAAGTAGCATTCTTTGTCTTTGGGCTGAAAACTAGAAAAAGAGTGGCAGCAGCTTGCCAGAGCTTTGATGGGACCATCTGCATAGTTTGTTTTCAGTAGATCTGATCTCTTTCACCTGGGTCTGATATTGTAGTTGAAAACATTTCATTTCCATCTGGCTGCTATTTCTGAATATTGTTGTGTCTTTGTATACCTAATCTAGATAAGGACTAACTTCGTGCCTGTTCAGAAAATCCCTTCAATCCTAGACACAGAGCAAAACTGCATTTAATTGAAAATTTGGTTCACAATAGAAATCTCTTGCAAAAGACATGGGATGCGGTATTTTACCAATTGGAGATAATAATATGCCCAAATTGCTGGTATTCCTCAATAAAGTCAACTTATTTAGCCAGAGTAGAACAGCCTGATTATCTGGAGTTAGAGGGGAGAAAACAGATGTGTCCCTCACAGGACAGTGCCAACAAGCGTGAATACATGTCCTTTCAAGGCTACAGGACACACACAAATCAACTAGGTCAAACTGCACAAAAACAGCCATCCCCTGCAATAAACTTAACCTACATATTGTTCTCTCTGTTAAAATTTCACGTGGCTCATGCTGCTCTCAGGATGGACATGGTGAAAGTGGAGTTCAAAAGATTTTGAAAAAAAAAATAAGTAAAAACTATCTGATCTTGAAGAGCCCAAAAGTTTAAATATTTGATGCAAATGTACTTAGCTACAATATACATAACAATATTGCATTTAGTTATTCCATAGGCATCAACATTTGTGTTTAGAAAACACTTCAATTGAGGCTGTGATTTCATACTTAGTCTCTTTTGTAAGTATTAGGATCATTCATGTTTGACTTATGTACTTTGCAAGGGTTTTAGTAACCTTTACATTTCAACCCATCAATAATCAAGATGATGTTACCTGTATAAATTGTGACAGCTTCCAAACTGATGAATTGGCTGTCGACAGGTGAAAGATGTTATACAAGATTGCTGTAACTTGAAATGTATTTTTGTTGAATGAAGTTTTTGTAAAACATATATATATATTTACAATGTTATTTGAATGATTTGTTGTAAATGCTGTGAATCTATATTTGTTTTGTATCTGTATATTAAAATTAATTTGCCAAACTGGTTCTAGTAGTGCATTTGAGTATTAGAATAAGATTTTTTTTTTTTTTTTTTTTTTTTTAATGGAGAGAGAGGGTCAGGAAGGTTTGTGGGATTCACAGTGCACTTCCTGCCTGGACATCGATAGACTTCTTTTCGGTAATAATTTGTCCATAAATGCACATGATCGAACCACTGGACAGGTATGGCGGAAAGAAGGCTCTGAGAGAAGTGAATAGGGACCATTTGACTTGAAAAAAGTCACTAAACGTTGGGAATAAGACTGTTAAAGCCAGAACCCAAAAGCAGAAGTCCCATTTTTTGGCAGTAGCTTTCCCACTAAAGGCAGAAAGTGGACAACAGAGCCTTCCGCTGTCAGTGCAAGTGCCCTTCAGCCCCCTGCTGCTGGCCCCTCCACCGATCTGCTAGTGGCCCTAGGCCTACTTACCCTCCGGGGTGGGGTAGATAACAATTTCCTCCTTTAATTAATGGCTCAGAAAAGCCAGTAAATAGCCCATTGTTTGCTGTGACTGTAATCTGAAAAGGATTCCTATAAAGGTTGCTAGGCAGCTAGTCCCCACACTGTTTTGTTTACTCTTAATAGCCACCTACTTCCCAAGCTGGTTTCCCCTCCTGGGGCTGGACAGAAAGAGGGGGCTTAGCTTGGGGGAGGCCCTGGGAGGAGTGGGGTGAAAATGCTGGGAACCAAAGTCAGCCTCTCAAAGGCTGGCCAGGGATTCAAACTGGTACCACATACAGGCAGGAGTGAGAATGGAGGGCTGGGGCCATTTCCTCTGGAAGAGTTGTGGCGAGGTGACCTAATATGAGCCACTTTCCCTATGCCCTGGCTGGAAAGGCAAGCTGAAGTGTTTGAATCCTCCAAAGGAGCTTGCGGTCGAAGAGGGAAGATAAACACAAGGCACAAGTAAAACAGTGTGAACTGTGCCACATGGGAGTGTACAAGGTATAGAAGGACTTCAGGAGACAGAACCCCTTCCTCAGGAACTGGGGTGAGAAGGCAGCGTACAGAAGGCCAGGCCCCAGCGGGACCCCGCAGGGTTACCCCTTCACAGCAGGGCCAATGTGTTGCTGGCCAGGGATGTTACAAATTGTGTGAGACCAAAGTGTTGGAAGATGAATCGCAAAAGACTTGTGGACCACGATGAGACACTGGGATTTCGTTTTGTAGGCTAAGACTTTGAGGCAAGGAATGTTGTAGCCAAACATGCTTAGGTGCTCAATCCAGTGACCAAAAAGTGTGGGTTGGAAACCAGAGGCAGGGAGGTGATTTAGGAGGCAGGAGGAAAGGAGAGGAGGCTGGACGTGAAGGATGCTCAGTGGTAACAGCGGGCCTCAGTCGGCCACCAGATGTTGGGAGGAGATGGTGGTTCCCAAGTTCTTCCTTGGGGTGGCCAGTGGGTGCTAGTGCCACACACAGATACAGAAAATACCACATGGAGGGGCAGGGGCAGGAGTTTCGTGTTGGTTTCATGACGAGTCTGTCTAGTGGTTAGTGAGATGAACAGAGTGAGGCCCAAGAGGGAGGCCAGGGCTGGCAGTGGAGACTGGACAAGGTCCTGCCAGTCACAGAAGTGAACCATGGGAATGGAGCTGAGCCAGATGGCAGGCAGCAGGAGGAACACCCCGAAGAGTGCACAGGCAGAGGAAGAGGAGAAGAGGCTTGGGAGGGAGAGTTGGGTGTGGGAAGAGGTAGGGCAGAGGAGGCACAGCCAAAGCAGAGGGGGAAGCAAGCATCTGCAGGGCAAAGGCTACTGACGCTCCCGCTGAGAAAGGACTGAGGTACCCGGGCGGATTCAGCGATCAAGAGGGCAAGGCAACTGTGGGTGGTGGAGGAGAAACTGGCTTAGTTTACTGACCTAACTCCTGCCACTGCCCGGCCTATTGTACAGACGAGGAAACTGAGGGAGGCGTGCTGAGAGCAGGGGTCGTGTTACCCTAGTTTGAGCGGGACTTGGCCTGCGCCTGCATATCCTGCAACCCAGCCCGCAGTGCCTCTGAGAAATGACCTCAGATACATTTGTCCTTCTGATGCCATTTTTAAGTTAGAAGTCAGTGTTAGTAGGTGCTTATTGGGAAAGATAAGAATCAGTATTACATGGCATTGAGAAGTTTCCCCATATTTTCCTCAGTGGCAGGTAGGCAGGGGTTGTGTATGTGTGAGAGAGTAGGGGAGAGAGAAGGCAATGGCATTAAATCCTTATGTACACAAACGCCTAAAATTAAAAGAGCTTCACAGAAGTTTGAGAGATCTAGTTACATGATATCAGCTCTGATAGTCTGGATTCCAAATGAGACCTGGCACGGTGTTTTCAGTTTTGTCCTCTTGCCCCAGAATGACCCGAAGACAACAGAGAGGCTGCTGAAAGGCACAAACATCACTTTATGGAAGGAAGCCTACCGCCTGCCTTGGGGATGTCCTCCAGACTCCACTTGAATGTGACCTTGCCTTCTCTCATTTCATTAAAAGGGACTGGGGAAAAAAGAGCTAGTTTTTCGAAACTCAGCGGAGCTGGTGGAGGGTGCTACCTGACTCAAGCGTGGCTACAATTTTGACGCTCTGCCTAGACATGTGTGTCTCTCTGTTCCCGCCCCTTCCTGCTGTTTTGCAGATACATCCACCAGGGAATTGTATGTCAGGAAGGAGTGATTTTATTTAGTTTGCCTTTGGGTCCTGGTTTGCACAGTACCTGGGTGCAGCCCGCAGCCCTGGGGGGCAGGTAAGTACATTAAGAAACAATTTCTTTAAATTCAATTTAAGGTATTGGAGTCTGAAACTTTTCTTTAATTATCAATGTGTGACAATCCTGCTCAATTATTTGCAAAGTAGGCAGATGTTTGCAGAGTTTCAGTTAGGAAAGGAGTAAGTCGATTCCAAAATTAATTTTTGAGGAAGAGGCTAAATAAGAGATAAAAGCAGATTTTGAAAACTGCAAATGGGCTGGAAGAAGGCATGAAACCACAGAGCCGCAGAGCCATAGAATGAGCAGATCTTTCTAGAGAGCTATCTAGAGAAGCTTGCAGATTATTTAGCACACATTTTAATTGTATGTGTTTATATTTATGACTAATTTACACTGTAGTTTTTGAAAAAGCCCTTCAATGTATGTTGAAGAAGAAATACCTGAAGTGTACAATGTATAGAGCATGTGGAAGAAAATGTATTCAATGAAGGCAATTTAGGGATTTTTAGATTCTTAAACTCTCAGATGTGGGAGGGATGTGTGGGGATTAGTTCATCCCCTGCACAAAGAGGCAGGGGTTCAGAGGTTTGGAGACCATAAAGATCGCTCCGCATGGTTCTGGCAAGTCTTTATGAAATCTTAGTATTGTGGGAAGTAAGAATCTTGAGGAATGGAAGAAACCCTTTACCTTGGCCATAAATTAGGGGCATCATGTCCTTGGGGGGCAGAGTAACCTTTTATCAAGAAATTCAGTAGTGAAGAAGAAACACAGGTCAAGCAGAGGAGAAACAACCCAGAAATAAGAAGTTAAATAAGAGTGAGCCTATTTTATTTGGGACTAAAAAAAAACAGTCACCAGGGTCATTCGTAGTCTGCATCCCTTTGGCCCTAACCACAATAGTATGTCACATTTATAAACTCACAGCCTCTTCCCAGGGTCTCTTAAGCATTCACACTGACTGTATTGATCTGTTCAAAGCAGCGATGATTGCCAGTTTTTAATATTGGATTGGCCAAAAAGTCCGGACAACTTTTTCCATAAAAGACACATTTTTCATTTTCACCAATAACTTTATTGACTTGGATATTTCGAATATGTCAGTTATCTCCCACATGGTGCGATGTTGATTGTTCTCAATTATCATCTTGATTTGATCACTGTCAATTACAACTGGTCTACCTGACTGTATGTAGCATCGTCCAGCAAGAAATCTCCAGCACGAAACTTCGCAAACCACTTCTGACACGTTCGATCAGTCACAGCACCGTCTTCTCCATACACTGCACAAATCTTTTTTTGCATTTCAATTGTGTTTTTACTTTTCTTGAAGTAATAAAGCATAATATGCTGAAAATGTTGCATATTATGCAACATTTCAATATTCAATATTAAATCTTCAATATTAAATCTTCATATATTCTTCATATTGAAGATAGCCATCTTCAATATTAAAATGGCTACACAAAAATTCACCAATTTTGATTAGTTTTTTTAAATGCATGCTGATGTGACAGCTGTCACAATACATTCTAACAAAGTTGTTTAGAATGAAATGAAAGAAAAATAAACACTACTGGAGCCGTCTTATGGAAGAAAACCTGAAGGAACTTTTTGGCCAATCCAATACATGACCTGAAGGGTTGTGTACTCTGGCTATTGGGCTGACTGACTATGGGAGTCCACAAGCGTCCCTCACGTTCCACAGCGGGAGCCTTGCCTAAGTTAAGATGTAGGCTTAGCTGTGTATAAAAGACCCCGCCTAATGGTAGCTTAGTTAAGTTAATGGTACATTTCTAATGTCAAAGGTGGCCTAGTGGGAGGGGTCTGGTCTGGGGAGTCATCAGACCAGGATTTTTCTGTCTCCAAAGCATTGCTCTCCTTTGAGGAGTCCAAGGTGGCTCACCATCCCATGTGCACCCCAGCCCTAGGGAGGGGGAGGGGCAAGGGAGGACACACCCTCTCCCATTAAGCCCCAAACGCTGCACGTGTTCCATTTGCTCGCTTCTCACTGGCTAAAATCTAGTTTCACAGTAGTATCTAGGCTGCAACGGAGGCTGAGAAATGTATTTTACTGTGGGCAGCCACATGCCAACTAAAACTCCTGTTTCCATGTGAGAAGGTGAGAAGGGGTATGGGAGAAACTAGTGATCCTCACCAGGGCATTGACGAGGATTAGATTTAATAGCCAGTCACCTCCCCAAGTGATGACCTGCACACAGTTAGAACCAGAATAACCTTCCTTCCCTCCTTCTTTCCTTCTTTCCTTCCATCTTTCCACTCATTCATTTATTCGTTCAATCATTCAACAAATATTTGACTGTGAGGTACTGAAACTAAGAAAGTGGAAAGATGCCATCACTGTCTTCAAAAAGCTGTAATCTTATTTGGTGACTGATAAATGACCCTTAGCTAGGTTCAGTGTGAAGAAGAGACAGATGGGGCGGGCAAGGCAGTGATCCCCTGGAGAGAGGAGGGGAAGGGAGGGAGGGAGGGAAAGGGAGGGAGGGAGGGCTGGGGCACGGACTGTGGTCCTAGCTCCCTGATGCATTTTGTAGCGATATCAGACAATGAAAGTCAAGTGAAGGAACTGGTGGAACTCACGAAACAGGGTCCGACCCACGGCTTTGTGAGAGCACAAATGTCATTGTGTTATTTTCTGAAGTAACATATTAATATAAATTCCACCGCATGCCTCAATGCAAACCCTCCTGTCCCTCTTCTACATTTTGTTATTAGATAGGGTGCTACGACTTGTTTCACTGCTTGTTTGGGTGACAAGTATATATTCAATTATTCAAAACCGAATGCTGAATGTTTTCTACAGGTTAGGCAAGCTAGCTACAATCTCTGTCTATGCAAAAACTCGTGAGTGAATTCAAGAAGAACAGTGTTTGCTTTCATCTTAGCTCTTTTCTAGCTGGAGAACAAAATAGAGTTTATTACAATTTGATATCGTTATTATCTTGTAAGCTTTTTATTATGGTCACAATGGTAACACATTTTGAAAAAAAATTAAAAAGGAAAAAAGAAAATACAGGGTCCAGCAGAAGTAACGCCTGCTTAAGTGTGGTTGGAAGGGTAACAATATGGATGTAATAATTTATAGTTTTGATTTGAATATCTCACTGAAAAATATCATATGGTGTGCTTGAGTGTGATATTGTTATGTTACAGAATTACATGCTTATGATTTTGTAATAAAAGATTTTGTAATGAAAAGGGGGCCTTTCTTTTTGCGCCAGACCCTGTATAAATCTGAAAGGTTGGTCTGTGCAATTTAGATTTGACTATTACTGGCCCCTTCTGAGTCAAACAAAAGAGGCTGATGTAAATTATTTATGGAATTTGGCTCTAAGAAAAATCAACACAATTTCCTGAAATGGCATATGTTTGTGACTTCAAAGGGAAACATCTGTATTTCCTTTTCCAAAAATACTCTGATTTGCCTCATGCCCTGTGACATTTACAGGCTTCCAGAAGATGGCGATATAATTTTTTTCCATGACAGTCTATCTGGGGGGTGTGTGTGTGTATGAAATAAATATATAGAGAGAAAGATGTTTATAGACACTGTAAAAAAGCATTTTTTTCAAAAGGAAAAAACCCATAATCCCACCATTCCAAAGCTCCACATTCAATTGGATCTACTTGCTTCTAGCTTTTGTCAATATGCCTATATGATTATATGGGTGCATTCATTATGTGCATGGCATTTTAGTCTGGTTTGAAAAAGTTCAACACAACATATATCTTTTACATATTTCTACATGACCTTCATAATCATTTCAGTAGTTTATAATAGTGCACTTTCTTAACCACTTATTGTTATACATTATGTAGTATGTACTTTTTTACTATTATAGATAATGCTGGGGTTAATACCTTTGGCACACAAACTTTGGATTTTTGAGACGAATTTGGGGGATGAGACCGCTAGGCCTTCAATATGGATGTCCTTTCTCTTTAACTTTCTAAATGGCTGTGCAGACTTCCGTTGCCTTCAGCAGAGGCTCTGGCTTCTGACCAGTTACTGTAGCCTTATGTTATTATTTGTTAAAATCCTGGATATCTGCCATGATATGTTCATTCCACTCAACACATATTTATTCATCTTGAGATTCTAGGATTAACACTGAGTACTGGGAATACAAGAATGAGGAAAATATAGTCAGATGGTGAGCCAGATTTTTCGTTATACAATTACATAAACAAATGTAACCCCCTTACTCTGGTGCCACGACAAGAGGAACAGGGTGCTAGGGGCCCCGTCCAGGGCTGACTTGACTTGGTCAGGTGGTCCTACGCATCCCGAGTGTTCACACTACTGCTGGGCCTTACTTGCATTGTTCTTTTTGTCTAGAACATTCCTCCAGATCTCAGCCCTTATCTCATCAACCAGCATTATCTTAGCTTCTGATGAGGTTGGAAGGCAAATCAATAACTTGGAGGGATGACTTGGAAGTGTGCCTCTCAAACTGTGGGCCCATGTGCGTGAGTGTGCGTCCTTTTTCACAGGGGCCTCCCATGGAAACGAAACCTTAACTCAAAGAACATATCTAATCACGGTGGGACCACTTGGAACACTTTAATATTTTAAAATTTAATTTAATTTTTATTGTGCTAAAATATACATAAAACTTACCATTTTGATTACTTTTAAGTGGACAGTTCAGTGGCATTAAGTACACCCACATTGATGTGTAACCTAACATAATGTCTTCAGGGTTTATCCATGGTGTAGCATGTGTCAGAATTTCCTTCCCCTTGAAGGCCAGATAATATCCCATGTTATAGATATGCTGAGTTTTGTTTATATGTTTATTGCTCAGTAGACACGAGTTGCTTTCACCTTTTGACTATCATTGAGTAATGCTATTATGAACATGGATGTAGAACTATCTGCTAGAGACCCTGCTTTCAATTTTCTTTTTGCAAATATACTCAGAAGCAGGATTGCTGGGTCAAAGGCTAATTCTATGTTTGCTTTACTATTTATAATGTGGTGTCATGCACATGGTGATCAAATTTAGTTTTTACAGCAGCATTGTGAGATAAGTAAGCACTAGTATATTCTAAGGCTCTGAAAACTGGTTTGCCCAAAGTAAAATGGTAAATGGAAGTGTCCTGGTGTGGAACTTGGTTTCTCTTGATTGCTCACCATTAAAATGGTCCCAGTCACACGTGTCCTTTCCAAGGACAATGTCCTTCTGATCATAAGCAGCTTGGTCTGCTACCAGCTTCTACCCTGCCCATTCTGTCCAGGTGTCACCAGGGCTGGGTCTGTTTCCCATGGCAAGGACAGAGGCTGTGTCCATGGTCCCAGAGACGAAGGTTTTCCTTTTGGCCTGTGTTTCCCTCTTTCTTCAGCTCTGTCACCTGAACCATGAGGATCTGGTGGCTCCTGCTTGCCACTGGAATCTGCGTAGGGAATGTGAACTCACAGGACACATGCCGGCAAGGGCACCCTGGTGTCCCTGGGAATCCCGGTCACAATGGTTTGCCTGGAAGAGATGGACGAGATGGAGCAAAGGGTGACAAAGGGGATGCAGGTACTTAACCCCTGGTGGCCTTTAGCTGCTGTTCCATTTATCCCTCCATTCCTTTTTCCTCACTTTCCATTCATCACCTGCATGGGCATCACCTGTGTGGTCATCACCTACTCATCATTCACCCACCACTCAGCAAATACTATTGAAGGCCTGCCCCATGCCAGACTCTGGGCTAAATGCTGGGGTACAGCACAGGGCAAGGCTGACGGGAGCTCCATCCTCATGGATTTGCTCATCTAGTGGGGAAACCCCTTGTTGACCATCATCTCTGCTACTATAGGGCCATTTTCAGGAATATATGATGGTATAGATCTTCCTGCCTCAGGTGACAGATATGGCAGATCTTTGGCAAATGGGGCTTTTAGAGAGACCTGATTGCTAAGTGTTTGGCAGAGAGCACCAGCTGCAGTGCTGGAGAAGAGCCAGTACCTTGCCATGCTGGAAGGCAGATGACACGTGCACTGACAGAGAACGCAAAAAATGGGTATACGGCTGTTACTCAGGGATCTATGCCACATGTTGGAACCTGCCACATGTTTAGGGGATTTGGGGACAGGATCCAGCCCCAGGAAAGGAGATTTGCAAAAGCCACGATGTGGGAGTGGTTTTCTTTTTCCTTCTTTTCCTTTTAAAGGTTTTATTCATTTATTTTTAGAGAAAGGGGAAGGGAGGTAGAAAGAGAGGGAAATAAATATTGATGTGAGAGAGAAACATTGATTGGTTGCCTCTTATACGTGCTCCAACCAGGGACCAAACCTGCAGCCCAGGTGTGCACGCTGCCCAGGGAATCAAACCAGTGGTCTTTAGCTTCGCAGAATCATGCCCAACAACTGAGCCACACTGGCCAGGGCAGGAGCAGTTTTCATAACACCAACTGAAAGACTTGGTTTTTTTAAAAAGTATTTTTGTTGTATTTTTTTCCTTTCCCATTTATTCCCCTTATACCTCCTACACCTACCCTACAATCACCACACTGTTGTTCATGTCCATGAGTCCTTTTTCATTTTTGCTCAATCCCTGTACTCCCCACCCTCCCCCAACTTAGCAGTCAGTCTGCTCTTTATCTATGAGTCTGTCTCTGTTTTGCTTATTAGTTCATTTTGTGCATTAGATTCCATATATGAGTGAAACCACATGGTATTTATCTTTCTCTGACTGGCTTATTTCACTTAGCATAATGTTCTCCAGGTCCATCCACACTGTTGCAGGGATAAAATTTTCTTCCTTTTTTTATGGCCGAGTAGCATTCCATTGCGAAAATGTCCCATAGCTGTTTTATACACTTATCTACTTATGGGCACTTGGGCTGCTTCTGTATCTTGGCAATTGCAAATAATGCTGCAATGAACATAGGGTTACCTATATTTTTTCAAATTAGTGTTTTGAGTTCCTTCAGATATATTTCCAGAAGTAGGATTGCTGGATCAAAAGGCAGATCCATTTTTAATTTTTTGAGGTATCTCCATACTGCTTTCCACAGTGGCTGCACCAGTCTGCATTCCCACCAACTGTGCAAAAGGGTTCCCCTTTCCCCACATCCTCACCAGCACTTATTGTTTGTTAATTTATTGATGATAGCCACTCTGTCGGTGTGAGATGATCTTTTCACATTTCCACTGGCCCTCTGTATGTCCTCTTTGGAGAAGTGACTATTCAGGTCCCTTGCCCAACTTTTTAATTGGGTTGTTTGGGTTTTTTTGGTATTGAGTTGTGTCAGTTCTTTATAAGTGTTGGATATTAACCCCTTATCAGATGTATTGGGGAAATATTCTCCCCTATTCTGTGCGTTGTCTTTTTATTTTGTTGTTTTTCTTTGCTATGAGAAAACTTTTTAGTTTCATTTAGTGCCATTTGTTTATTTTTTCTTTTGTTACCCTTGCCTGGGGAGATATAGCTGATAAAACATTGTTACTAGCTACATAAAAGGAACTTGAGAAAGAACAACAAAGCCCAAAGTGAGTAGACAGAAGGAAATAATAAAAATCAGAGCAGATATAAATGAAATAGAGTCTAAAAAAAATGAAACAAAAGATCAATGAGAAAAGATCAATGGTTCTTTGAAAAGATAAACAAGATTGACAAATCTTTAACCAGATTCATGAAGAAAAAAAGAGAGAGGACCCAAATAAATAAAATCAGAACTGAAAGAATAGAAATAACAACTGATACCAAAGCAATACAAAGAACTATAAGAAAATATTGTGAACAACTGTATGCCAACAAACTGGACAACCTGGATGAAATGGATAAATTCCTAGAAACATACACTCTTTCAAAACTCAATCAGGAAGAATCGGAGAATCTAAATAGACAGATCACACCTCGTGAAATTGAAGCAGTGATCTAAAACCCCCCAACAACATCAACAAAAGCACTGGACGGGATGGCTTCACAGGGGAACTTTATCAGACTTGGTTGTTGAATGGGGTTCTTGAGCCCTGGTTTGACCATTAGCAGAATGATCCCTCTGGGTTCAGGAAGAAAACATCAAAAACTCTATTGACATCTTAAAAGACAAATTTAGGGTAAGAAAAAAATGAGCTTTTATACTACTTAATACACGCATACCTCATTTTATTGTGCTTCACAGTTGTGCTTTTGACCAGTTGAAGGAAAAACCCCGTACTAACAAAATAATGTTTTGCTTTATTATACCTGCTTTATCGCAGTGGTCTGCAACTGAACCGGCAAAATCTCTGAGGGATGACTGTATATGAATTGGTATGAGTGACCTCACTGGGTCCATTTGCGGAGGGACACGTATCATTCAAGGACTAAAATTGTCCTGTGGGAAGAGCGGGACCCCCACAGTACAAACAGATGGGCTAGGAGCCTGCGCACGGTCATCAACCGGCTTCGGAGTAATGTGGTGTGTTGCAGCTACGTGTGCCCCGCCCAGGGGACCTTCACATTATACTATCGAACTATCGCAAACACATGGGTGCCTAAATTACTCCAGTCAAGAAAGTGAAGATCGATGGTGGACTTGGTAAGACAAGCATTGAAGACTCACATGAAAGTAGCAGAGCTGTCATCTCTAGTCTCAGTGTGAACTCTGCAACAGCACATTACCAGGGGAAAACAACGCACTAGTCAGACCTGACAAGAAAGTCTGTAAAACCTAGAAATTATTAAGACTTAGGGCATATGAGTTTACATGTACAGTCATTAAAGGGAACCTCATCCTAACTATAAATTGAACCACGAGATAGCAGTTATGAATAGGAAGAACCTCAATTAATAAGATATTTCAGGACTCTGTGTGCAATGTGAACACAAACCACTGTCATTTTTTCTCAGCAATGCATTCAGTGTTGCACTAGAAAAACTTCTCCAAATTTAATGATAAACATTTAGAAGGCTTTTCTGATGCTTATTAATCATATCAGAAGATTATATAGTCTTCTGTCTATATTAAAATGATTGAAATAATACTCAGAAGGCAATTGCAGGATGAATAAAATTAATTATTTGCCAGCAAATGCTGTTGGAATATGGATTTTTAAAAAGCTTCTGTTAGGTTTGGAAAAACAAGTATTAGAACAAATATTTAGTACAGGAAGTCTGCTGTGCAGATGAATGAAAATCCAGTTGTTTCTCTTTCCCACTCCTGGCGCTGGGTGGTCCGGGGCATTCATCGGGTGGGCTGCCTGAAGCAGAGGGGAAGCGATGCCGTTTCTCTTCAATCATCACCCTGCAAACCTGCTCTGCGGGCTCTCCTACTTGACTGTCTCTCCAGGAAGTCTATGTCACTTTCAGGTATTAGACCTGTCATTTCTGGGTTGTAAAAAGCTCAGTCTAAGTTCATGGCAACACCTCAATCTTCATGAAATCCTTTCTTCTACTCTCCCACTTGTACGAGAGAGAGAGAGAGAGAGAGAGAGAGAGAGAGAGAGAGAGAGAGACTGCCCACTCAGGCTATACCCGTGTCTTCACCATTCCTCCACCTTTCACTTCCACTCTCCTTCTTCACTGCAAGGACCGCTCTTGACTCTATAGAAGGGGCTGGGAAGAGAAGAGGTGCAAGAAGATATTCATTAGCTCTGGCTGCTGTGGCTCGGTGGATTGAGCGCTGGACTGTGAACCAAAGGGTCACCAGTTTGATTCCCAGTCAGGGCACATGCCTGGGTTGTGGGCCAGGCCCCCAGTAGAGGGTTCTCGGGAGGCAACCACACAAGGATGTTTCTCTACCTCTCTCCCCCTCTCCCTTCCCCTCTCTAAAAATAAATTAAAAAAATATTTTTAAAAAATAACTTAGTCACTGCTATTGAAATCTGGCATTAGTGCCCTCTGAGGAAGATGACTCGATGCTTGCTTTTCTCTTATGAGATTTTTTTGGGGTTCTTTATGGACCCCCTTCTGCACCATTTCTTGAAGTGGGCAATGTACTCATTGCCTCACTGCATTTGAACCCCCCCGCCCCGCCCCGCCCCAGTTTCTTCACATACCACCTTGCTGTTGGCGTCCCTTTGCTTGGCAGCGGTTTTTGGGAGGCTAGCCCTTACAAAACATTCCCAGCCTGGCCCTCCGGAGGCACCCACCCAGCCTGCACAGCTTGGGACCTGTGCCCTGCCGGACCCCAAAGGCAGTAAAGCAGTGGCGCTCCTCATGCCGCTGTCTGCTTTGCTCTGCCATTTGGGCCGCTTCATTTGGCGGCGGCTGCTTCTTTCTCTTCCTTGTCTTCTTCTTTTTGCTCTTCCAAAATATTTTTTAAAATTTTATCTATTTATTTTTAGAGAGAGGGAAAGAGGGAGAGAGAGAGGGAGAGAAACATTGACGTGAGAGAGAAACATCGATTGGTTTCCTCTTGTACATGCGCCAACCGAGGACCGAACCCACAACCCAGGCATGTTCCTTGGCCAGTAATCGAAACTGCAGCCTTTCACTTTGTGGGATAATGCCCAACCAACTGAGCCATACCGGTCGGGGTGCTCTTCCAAAATACTACATTAAAAATAAAAATTACAAGTAATCATCTTCCTGCCCGCCCCAATAAAACA